GCAATGAAAAAATATATTGGGAGGTCTTGGCTCATCAGTGGTGAACCCTCCCAGCGGTTTCGCCAATTTAATCCACCAGACCGCTTCTCAGAGATTCCATCCTTCAGTGCTGCTTATATAAGCAGAATTGTCCAATACAGTATTCGAGCTCTGAGAAGCGGTCTGGTGGATTAAATTGGGGAAACCGCTGGGAGGGTTCACCACTGATGAGCCAAGCCCTCCCAATATATTTTTTCATCGAGGTAAGGGCAGTGGGAGTTTGTATTATATATAAAAGAAACATTCGTGCTTTTAAATCCTTTCATTTTATACAGTAAAACCCCTCTATAGTGAACCCCATTGGGACGGGACTTTTGGTTCACTATAGCCACGGTTTGGGTATTTAAATTTTTTTTAATAATATTAATTATATAATTTAATAATATTGGCTGCTTTTTTTCCCCCTAAATTAACCTATTTCTATATATTAAAGCTGTATATTAAAATAAAAACAAAATCATGTGAAAATATTGCCTTTTTGATCAGTTCCTCTGATAATTTAATTAGTATAAATGCAACCTGCCCCCCATATGTAAAAAAAATCCAAGAAAAGAATACCTTATTTATAAAAATTAAATAAAAACTTTATTAATAATATTTTAAAAGGTATAAAAATATATTTTTTAAATAAATATTATTATATTAGAATATAGGATACAAAGGCTTACTTGAAGAAGTCTGTTATTTTTTTCTGCTTTAACATATTCCTCATAATGACACTGACGATAGCTGCAATAGTTGGGATTGATTCCTCTTTGTAGCATTTTTTTTTTATAGTCTTCTTTTTTGCCATATCGTAGAAATGCAACTTTTGCTCATTTTCATTTTCTTCCGAAGATCCGCTTGCGATGTACCACTCTCAATAGCTTTTATGATGGTTAATTTCTTTTCAAGTGATATCTTGGTACGAGCGACTTTTTCTTTGGCACTTCCATTATCTTTTTAAACTGGTTTTAATAATTTAATCATGTTTTAAGGAATTTTCCTAATGTAGAGTTAAGAAATTTAGTTTTCAATAAGGCATGAAAAATTTATAAAAGTGCGCAGTATAAAAATAGAACGTGAATATAAACAAACAATGTCGCTAAATTCTTTGTTTTGAATTGCGATCTGTGAGCTAGAGCTCACACAAAATTTTAATTAGTTTTGAAAATTATAATTTTTGAATTTTAGAATTAAAATTAAAAGTTCGTTATAAGCATGGTATTTTTGATAGAATTTAATATTTTGGGACCAAAATTGGGTTCGTTATAGCGATAGTTCGCTAGTTTGAAAAGTGAAAAGTTCGTTATAGCGATGGTAATTTTAATGGAATGGAATGCGGATTTTCGATGGGTTCGTTATAAGGGAAGGTTCGTTATAGCCATGGTTCGTCTTAGCGGGGTTTTACTGTATATAAAATAAATGAAGCTTCCAGGGTTAAGTTTCTTGTGTACATGTTTGTATACATCAACTAGCCGAATGACCCGGGCAACGCCCGGGTTTTACCCGATTAAATGTTTTTAATTCATATACCGCCGTGGATTTCACTCTTGTGAAACGTCCCGCTCCAAACTTTGCGTGTTTTAAAATATAAAAATAGAAAGGTAAATTTTCACAAAGATATTTTAAAATTCTATTATTTTGATTTTCAAATACTATTCGTTACAATTATAAATTGGCACCGTGAATGTCACTCTTGTGAAACGTCCCGCTCCAAACTTTGTGTCTGAGAAGCGATATTTTTTATAGAAAGATGATCTGGCTTTTGTTTTCTGCTCGAATGAATGTTTTTCTGTTAGAATTTTGTTCCTGCGTACAAAATAATGAACTGGTTTCACCCGTGGTCTCTGCTTTTTGGAATTTTTCCCGATATAATTTTGTATCTGATAATCAAACATGATACAGCAATATTGTCATCATCATTTTCTGACTAAAAATATATAGTTTTAATAATTAATTTAAATATTTTTTAAAATAGCTTATCATCTTCCCCGGATTTTTTTATCTATGTATGGAAATTTTGGTTTGAATTAGTGGGAGACCCCGAGACATTTGGCCAGATCTGAAATATGACGTCACAATGATGTCACGATGACGCGCGATGTAAACAAAGGTTATGATTGATTCATTGTGTTTTTAAAATCAAGATTTAATTAGTAATATTTTAAATACCTGTGATTAATTTATAGTGTCAATATATTTATAAAGGACTTTTTATTTTTATAATTTTATATTAGCAATTTTTTAATTATGTTTTAGCGCCAACGTAAACAAAGAAATACTGGCGTAATACGTTCCAATGGTGCCAACGGTGATATTTATAAATAGGCATATAAAAAAAAATTATAAAATTAATATTAATATAAATTACATTAGCCTAACCTAAACCTAACCTAAACTAATCAAACCTAAACTGAACCTAACCTAAACGAACCTAACCTAATCGAACCTGAACCTAACCTTAAACGAGCCTAAACGAACCTAACCTAACCTAACCTCAAACGAACCTAACCTGAACCTAACCTAAACGAACCTCAACCTAACCTTAAACGAACCTAAACCTAACTTAAACTAACCTAAATTAATTACGAAATTTTAATATTAATTAATAATTAATTTTATAATAATTTAAAATATCGGACACCATTTCTCTCAAGGTATTAACATGGTGTGCATTCATAACACACACGTGTTTACAATTGCGCTAAATATTTTCAAAAAAATTTCTAATTCAAAATAGAAGGCCATTTAGACAAAAAATAAATATAGTGAAAATATAATTTAATCACAGGTATTTAAAATATTAATAATTAAATCTTGTTTAAAAAAAAACATTGAATCAATTATAACCTTTGTTTACATCGCGCGTCATCGTGACCTCATATTTCAGATCTGGTCAAATGTCTCGGGGTCACCCGAATTAGTGAACTACTGCGAATTTGTATACCGGACATACAAACATTCATTTTTATATATATAGATATTGATTTGCGCTTTAGGAAATATCATTGCCCAATATGCAACTACAAACCAATATTTGAATATCTGGGGAGGTCTCGACACCTCCCAGGTCCCTTGTTTTACTATCCCTAACTTCCTAAACTATTGAAAAGGCAAAATGTGGATTATAAATACAAACTAATAAGACCAAATCTAAATAAATAGTTTTTTCATTCAGTACTTTTATCTGATGATGGTAAAAAAGGTTAAACTTCTTATACACTATTTATTTATCTGAATGCTTTAACATTTAGATTTGTGTTAAATACAAGTTGTAAATACTGATTATATTTTTGGTAAAAACCACTGAGAGGGTTTACTACTGATGAGCCAAGCCCTCTCATCAAATCACTAATATTAATGCAGTAAGGTCTGTAGAGATAATATTTGATAATAAATATCCTAAGAAACATATTACCAAAAAAAAATTATAAATTTGATTGATGGCAATTAAAATTATAATTTAAAGTTTAAATTATATAATTGTTAAGTATATTTTAATAAAAGGTAACAAGACTAAATCCAGATTATTGAAATGTTATCGTATGTTTGTAATCTATAATTCAAATTCTACCTTATAAATTGATATTTTAAAAATAAGTTTCAAAGCATTAAAGTAAAATTTTGAAAATATTTCGTAATTCAATTCTGAAAAATGTATGTTATATTATAAAACAACAAATTGTCAGTGAATTTTGTTTGTAAACATATTTTTTCCAAATAGATTTGCTTTGACATTATAATCGATATTCATAATAAACTTACGATTGCATTAGGAGAGCCTGTTTTAGCACCTCCTCCACCGCCTGCAATTAATAGATGTCTATCTGTTAAAAAATTAAGTGCATATACAGGAAAGCCAACTTTTGAAATTAAAATTGGCCTATTCTTAGGTGCCATGTCGACACATAAACAACTCAGCTGTTTATTATTTTTTTAAGCTCTCTTTTTATTGACTACACTAAATTGTGTGTGTGTGTGTTTTTTTTTTACATCACTGATTATTATCTTTATCGAGATATATATTCCCGAATATTTATTAATAACTTTATCAATTATTTTGGATTTATCTGAGAATTATTCGATATAATTTTAAATTATATAGACAAATTACCTTTTCTATAATTGAAAATAAACTATTGGCTTATTAAAAAAAAAAAATGAGAAACACAATTTAAAATTTTCGAACAATACTTTAAAATTCTAGCCGAAATTTTAAATTAAAAATAGAGAATTATATTTTCCAATATAATATTAATTGTTATTAACATTGTTATTATTATTATTATTATTATTAGTTTTGATATCTATTCCAGTCAATCTAGGAATGCTAACTTATTTCTTATGTGATACTTTCTGATATTCCAGAATTAGCTGTTTATTACCTTCTACCATTACGAAAACTGAATATGCCATTTAGCGATTGATATTGACACTGAAATCATTTTAGAAATTTTCAATATTTACCTTTAAAAATTCCCATGCATCCTGAGTATAATTGTGTTTACTGATTTGCTCTATCGCAAATATTAGCAGAGTTATAATTTAAGGATCACCCTATGTTATGTATTATCATTATTGAAAACAGTAAATTGTTGTCATTTATAATGTTCTTTCTTATCATTATCATATGTTATAAAGGACTGCGGCGTATGATTATAAACAACACTTAAAGTTTCACCACATAAGTTTCTTTTCCTAACCCACAACCTTCCGCTTACAGGGCAGATGCCATGTCCACTAAGCTACCCTGGACGTATTTTTCCGTTCGTAAATAATACTTAAAGTAACTTATAATACATTATAAAGGACTGCGGCGTATGATTATAAACAACACTTAAAGTTTCACTGCATAAGTTTCTTTTCTGTGAAAAATCAATATTTATTTCAAAGAGAAATATTTACTATTTCTAACTTTTTTGGATGAAGTATGAAAGGGTGAAAATATGAAGAGTAATGGCGAACGGAAAAATAAAAGTGTCCAGGGGCGGGATTCGAACCCACAACCTTCCGCTTACCGGGCCATGTCCACTAGGCTACCCTGGACGTATTTACTCGCCATTACTCTTCATATTTTCACCCTTTCATACTTCATACTTCCCCATTACTCTTCATATTTTCACCCTTTCATACTTCATCCAAAAAAGTTAGTGTTGAGGGTTCAGGCAAGAATCCTCACGCGCCTAGCGGCGCCAGTGTGGCGGCGGGAACCGGCCGAGACTGGATCCCGGCAGTTTGGTTTGATGTCAGCTGCGAGCGGAGGACTAACTCCGCGTCTAGCTGTGTGTGGTATTCTCCTTATGTTCCGGCACTGGTTATAAATAAAACCGGTACCAAACCAAAGGTCCGACGACTCAGAGTGGATTATTGACAAATCAACGGGCACAACACGACATGGTGGCAGCGGCGGGATCGTGAAGAGCCCAAGTAAGTGCCTTTTTAATTAATTCCACTCTTGTGCAATCAAATCTGACATGGAATCAAATTCCTTTCTTCCGCCTCCTAACTTCAGTTTCGACGCCAAGGATTGGCCAAGCTGGAAACAGCGATTTTCTCGATACAGACTTCTCTCCAACTTGAACGCCAAGGAACAAGAATATCAAATCACAGCATTGATATATCTTATGGGAGAGAGGGCTGAGGAAATCCACTCTGCGTTCAATCTCTCAGCAGATGACGCAAAGAACCTCGACAAAGTCATTGAAGCGTTCGACAACCACTTTATTGGCAAACGCAACGTGGTGTATGAGCGGGCTTTGTTTGGATTAAGGAGAAAAGACCGGAAGAAACCATCGAGGAATTCGTAACAGTTTTGCACAGAATATCTGAGCACTGCGAATACGCTAATCTGCGCGAGGAGCTTATTCGTGATCGTTTGGTGCTTGGAGTAAAAGAGAGAAAGTTGTCGGAGAAACTGATGCTAAACGAAAACCTGACCTTGGCGAAAGCAGTCGAGATCGCCCTTCATTGGGAAGCTGTAATGCGTGAACAACAGGATCTTAGCCCTTCTACATCGCAGGCGACACAACGCGGAAAGTGGCCAAGCAGAAGCCTAAGGCATCAGGTCATGGCAAGGACAATGGCAGATCAACGTCTAGACAAACAGACAGTGCCAAGGAAACAGATGAAGGAAAACAATTTCCAACTTGCTTTAACTGTGGGACTACCAAACATCATTATCGTTACAGAGATAAGTGCCCCGCTAAGGACAAAGTCTGTGGAAAGTGCGGGAAAAAGGGCCATTACACTAATCTCTGTTGAAGAAAAAACAATGAGGTGAACGCCATATCCTCGGAGGAAACCCCAGCGCGGGAGAAGGTCTCATATGTATATGCTGTCCGCGAGCCTACGCTGGGAAGCAGAAAGAGCAGGTGGAAGTCAACAGTAAGAGTCAACGGCACTGCAATCCACTTCAAGTTGGATTCGGGCTCGGATGTGACACTGATACCATTTTCCCTGTACAAGCGCTATTTCAGCAACGTCCAACTGACGCCTACCGACGGTCAACTGATGGCGGCCGCGAACCAAAGATTGGAGAATGCTGGGACCTTCGTGGCGAAGCTCCGAGCTAACACGCGTGAAATGAAGGAAACCGTGTACGTGGTCCACCATTTGGAGCAACCTCTGTTGGGTGTCGGAGCCTGTGAAGACCTCCAACTCGTCAAACGAATTGATCTTGTCATCAACGGAACAACGGATGTCAATCCTGAAAGAGAGTTCCCTAAGCTATTTGAAAGACTGGGGCTTCTTGAACAGCCCTATCACATCAAGTTGAAGGAAGGTGCCAAGCCCTTCTCCATACCAGTCCCAAGACGAGTACCTCTTCCGCTCATGCCGAAGTTAAAAGAGCAACTGGATGCCATGGTGGCTCAGGAAGTCATCGAACCAGTTGATGAGCCAACGGAGTGGTGCGCACCGATCGTCCTAGCTGGAAAGCCAAACGGGAAAATCAGGATCTGTGTAGACTTGCCCCGGCTTAACCTGAGTGTGGAACGTGAGCTTCACCCGCTTCCTGTCCTTGAACATGAACTAGCTCAACTCAACGGGGCCAAAATCTTTTCCAGGCTGGATGCTAACAGTGGATTTTGCCAGATTAAACTCTCCGAAGAAAGCCAAACGCTGACGACTTTCATTACGCCCTTTGGCAGATATAAATTCAAAAGGCTTCCCTTTGGGATCTCTAGCGCTCCAGAACACTTCCAGAAACGCATGTCTGCTATCCTACGCGGAGTCAATGGGGTAATCTGTCACATGGATGACATCCTTATTTTCGCAAAGAGAAAGGAAGAGCATGACGAGACACTACGCGAAGTTTTGAGACGCCTAAAGAACTCAGGAATTACGCTTAACAAAGAAAAGTGTCAGTTCGGTGTAAGCAACGTCACATTCCTGGGACATTACATCGACGAACACGGTATCAAGGCGGACGAAAAGAAAGTCAAAGCCATCGCCGAGATGAAACCGCCAACTGACGTGCACGGGGTGCAACGTTTTATGGGCATGGTCAATTTCTTAGGCCGCTTTGTTCCAAACTTAGCGGAAATCACAAAGCCACTAAACGACCTAAGAAAGAAAGATGTTAGTTTCATCTGGGGCTCACCACAGAAAAAAGCGTTCGAGAAAGTCAAAGACGTTCTGGCCAGTGACCGAGTTCTGGCAAGCTTTGACATCTCTAAGAAGACCATGGTCTCAGCTGATGCATCATCGTATGGCCTGGGAGCTGTCCTCAAGCAAGAGCATGAAGCCAACGAGTGGCGCCCAGTGGCCTTTACATCACGGACGCTGACGAAGACGGAACAAGGATACAAGGATACGCTCAAATAGAGAAGGAAGCCCTTGCAATCACATGGGCGTGTGAACGATTCAAGGACTTTGTGGTTGGATAAACCTTCCTCATCGAAACAGATCACAAACCTTTAGTCCCCATCTTCACCACTAAAGATCTGAACGATCTAACGCCAAGGCTTCAACGATACCGTATGAGGATGCTTCAGTTCTCGTTTCATATCTTTCATACACCGGGGAAGGACCTAATCACCGCTGATGCCCTTTCAAGACACAACTTCCAGGTCATCTTCCCGAAGATGAAGAGCTCCAGGAAGAAGTTGAACATTTTGTGCGTAGAATCGTCCTGCATCAATCCACGACAGACGACCGACTTGCCAAAATAGCCCTCAACCAGAAGCTGGAGCCTACCCTTCAAAATGTGGCATTTTATTCCAAAAACGGTTGGCCCGCCAAATGTCAGCTCTCTCCCTTAGAACGTTCGTTCTACGATGTTCGCGACGACATAGGGGAAGAGAACGGCTTACTAATGAGAGGACTGCGAGTGATCATCCCCTCTAACATGCGAAAAGATGTTTTGAACCGCATCCACGCAGGTCATCAAGGAATAACAAAATGTCGAGCAAGAGCAAAGGATCATGTTTGGTGGCCAGGAATAGGTCAAGAAATCCAGGATATGGTAAAAACCTGTGAGAAATGCATAGAGAATCAACCTCTAAAGCATGAACCACTCATCCCCAACGACTTTCCGGAAAGACCGTGGCAAAAGGTCGGGATGGATCTCTTCCATTACGAAGGAAGTGAGTATTTAGTCGTCGTAGACTACTTTTCTCGATTTATCGAGGTCTTACGACTTACTAAACTTTCCTCGGAAGCTGTGGTAGATCACTGCAAAGCCATATTTGCTCGTCATGGCATCCCTGACATTGTAATCAGTGATAACGGACCACAATTTCGCCCATCAACAACTTCAGCTTCTACGAAGTTTGCCTCTGAAGTTGGGTTTCGACACATCACTTCCAGCCCAAAGCATCCACAATCAAATGGTCAAGCAGAGGCTGCTGTCAAAATTGTGAAAAACCTGATGAAAAAGAATAAAGATCCGGTCCTAGCACTCATGGAGTATCGGGCAACACCCCTGGCAAACGGACTCTCCCCTGCGGAACTTCTATTTGGACGGAAAATTCGCACTATGGTTCCCTGCACTTCATCATCACTAACTCCTAAAACAGTGGATCAATCCAAACTCAGGGGGGAAAAGGAGCAGCGGAAGATGGCGCAGAAAACGGCTTTTGACAGACGCCATGCGGCCACGAAAAAGGCGGAACTAATTGCAGGAGAGAAAGTTTGGGTGAAGGATCTTCGAGCGTGGGGAAGTGTCCTCGAGAAGGCTTCAGCGCCCCGCTCATACATCGTGGAAACTACTATAGGGACCTACAGGCGGAACTCTCTTCTTCTGGCTTCTTCCCAACAACAGGTCGACCCCAGTGAGACATCTCCTGGCAGTGAACTACCCGCTGAAACGGAGGAAACTCCGGGAAATGAACTGCCTGCAGAGGAGCTACAACAGCTGCCAGCAATCGCTCCAGAGATAAAGCAGCTGTCTCCCTCACCTGGGAAAGTGTCGCGGTATGGGAGAAGATACAAGCGTGTCCAGCGCTAACCTCCTCTAAACTTTTTGGGGGAGATGTTGAGGGTTCAGGCAAGAATCCTCACGCGCCTAGCGGCGCCAGTGTGGCGGCGGGAACCGGCCGAGACTGGATCCCGGCAGTTTGGTTTGGTGTCAGCTGCGAGCGGAGGACTAACTCCGCGTCTAGCTGTGTGTGGTATTCTCCTTATGTTCCGGCACTGGTTATAAATAAAACCGGTACCAAGGGAGCTCCGACGACTCAGAGTGGATTATTGACAAAACAACGGGCACAACACAACAGTTAGAAATAGTAAATATTTCTCTTTGAAATAAATATTGATTTTTCATAGAAAAGAAACTTATGCGGTGAAACTTTAAGTGTTGTTTATAATCATACGCCGCAGTCCTTTATAATGTATTATAAGTTACTTTAAGTATTATTTACGAGCGGAAAAATACGTCCAGGGTAGCCTAGTGGACATGGCATCTGCCCAGTAAGCGGAAGGTTGTGGGTTCGATTCCCGCCCCTGGACACTTTTATTTTTCCGTTCGCCATTACTCTTCATATTTTCACCCTTTCATACTTCATCCAAAAAAGTTAGAAATAGTAAATATTTCTCTTTGAAATAAA